GGTCTTGACAGTGTAAAGACTTGACAGAAAATGACATGGAATCCAGATTTTTGCACAGCTTTTGGCTTTTAAAGACTGTGGTCTTAAACTTTTGATCAGCTGAAAAAATCATGTTTGAGTGTAAATGCAGTTTTCAGAAAATTCCTGCTCAAAATTTCTTGTCTCTTGCACTGATTTCTTCTTTTAACATTGTGAAGCTCTACTTAGAACCTTCTTAAGATCCAATAGTGCAAAATGCAAATTCTTGCACTTTTTTGACTGGTCTTAAGATTTTGCTCAGTAGTGTATAAACTGTTTTTTATAAGGTAAAAATAATAAAACAAGGTCTTTGTCTGCAATGATTAGACATGGTTTTTATTATTGTCATTATTAATTATCTCAATTTCGGCTAAAAGACTTGACAAAATCCTACACACTGTGCCTTTAAAAGTGGGGGGACACACAATCGGGGGTCTGCCCCCCCACCCAGAAAATTTTGGACGAAATAGATGCCATTTCCTTCATTCTGGTGTATTTTACCAGGTTGTTTAACATACTTTACTTAAATTATCACTTGATTTAATTATTTCAGAGACAAATTTTTCATTTAACTAGTTCCATCATCATGTTTTTAAACTCACTGCTACAGATGAGATAAGATTAATTAATGTGACACAATTTATCATAGAAAATGACTTTAGGGTTGCTTTTTATTTTATATTGTTTGATTTATTTTTAATTGTAACACGTGTTATTGTGCCAAATAATGATGACCCTCAACTGCATGTTTAAAACTGATTATAAGTTTTACCCAATGAATTTAGTGAATTTAGAGTTGTGTTTCACTTTTTCTGATTTAGTGATAGGTCTACTCACAACATAACACAGAGCATCATGGAGCCTTCATAATGTAAAATGACACTGTGTTATTGTCACCATAAATCAGATTACATAGGCATATGCTCTATATATAAAGAAAATCATCCCCTTCTTGTCATTACTCTTCTTCTGTGATAGAGTTTGGTGATGTTTCAAACTGTTAAACACTGCCTCCAACTGTTCAGGAGGATTATTACACCCCTAAATGTTTCACTGTGGAAGGAGTGTGTACAGCATGTGGCCAATGGGGTGGCCAAAGATTTGTCTGTGGTGGCCAGGACCAACCCCTGGCTCCGCCCTGGACATTTCCAGAGGAGGGACAGTGGACATATTAGTTTGGACATTTCCAGAGGAGGGACAGTGGACATATTAGTTTGGACATTTCCAGAGGAGGGACAGTGGACATATTAGTTTGGACATT